TTTTTGAGACAAGGCCTCACTGTGTAGCCCAGGCTGGCCTTAAACTCACAGTAACACAGTGATCCTCCTGCCTCAGCCTCCCCAGTTCTGGGATTACAGTTATGCACCACCACACCCATCTTGAATTTTTCTTTCAAATGATACTGGGGATCAAACCCAGGTCTTCACACATGTGAGCCATGTGATCTACCACTGAGCCTTCAGACTCCCAAGCCCAGAGGCTGGATTTAAAAGACCTAGATATGACTTGAGTGAGAGTCTGTGAGAATTAATTCATTCTACAGCTATGAGTATCTCCAGTGGAAAAAATCGGAGACACCCAGGATTCAGAATTTCGGAGTCCTCAGTGAGCTTCTGGGAATGTTAGGGCTCCCAGGAGACCTTAGCCGAGAGTGCGCCATCTGCAGAGGACAGCGCTCTTGTGAGCTAGGGCTGTGGCCCCAGGCCCCTGTGCGCTCTCGCCCTGCCAAGCGGTGGCTCCTGTGTGAGCCTGAACTCCCTTTCGTCCTTCTCCCCTGCGACTGAGACCAAGAAATGTGCCTTGGTTTTAGCACATGGGCTCGTTCTGATTGTTCATCGCTGCTCTCTCACATGGGAAAGAATGTAGTAATTCATCAGTGTCCCTCAGCATGAGCGTGAGGGAGAGTGTGGTAGCAGGCGTGCTGGCTTTCTCCCGTTCCTGACCGATACCGGAAGTAGGTCAGGTGGCCCGTGAGGGCCCCTCTGCAGGCTAGAGATCTGATCGTGAGAAAAGACTTGCGTAGACAAACCCAAGAAAGTCCTTCCCGCGGCTGGAGCGTAGCTGGCCTTGCCACCCATTCCCCACCCTCCTTCGCCCTGGACTCCCACTTCCTCCTTGCTTAGTTTTTTAAGGGTAGATGCACCCTTTGTCCAAGCAAGAGCCCGCGCTCGCCAGGCACAGCGACACTCACCTGAACGCCAGCTGCTCGGGCAGCTGAGGCAGCAGGATGGCAGGGTTGTGCCTCAGCCTCTACACTGCTCTATATGTAACGCCAAACAATTTTTTATAACTTTGAAACAGGCTCTCCCTAAGTCCCTAAGTGTTCTTGGCTGGGCTCAAATTTGTGAACAAAACCCTGTCTCAGAAAAACAAAAACCAGGCAGGCATGGTGGTGCGCCCTGTGATCCCAGTGTTCAGGAGGCTGAGACAGGAGGCTTACCGTGAGTTCAAGACCAGCCTAAAGTGCATTGTGAGACCCTCTCTCAAAAAAACAAAAACCAAACCCAAAATAAACGTAATTCAAATTGTTTTTTCCACAGAGTCGTTTATCTCCTGCTGTCTCGCCCGATGGATTCTAGTTCAAGAATGCTGTTTGTATGTGCAACGTCAGCTACAAGCGTAAGCTCCAGACACGCACTCAGAGCCCGAGCGCGCATCCCAGCTGAACGCTTTCCCTGAATATTTCCCGTGCTTGGCTTCATGAACAGATGGTTCTGGTAGTGCTCGCTCACGTATCCATCCGAAGTCTGTCAACAAGAATCCTTGCCTCCCTCACTGGCCTCTGCAGCTGTGCTTACGGGCTGCATGGTCCACCTGGTGACACTTCCTGCAGGCCCAGTGCCCAGGCGGCATTCTTAATGCTGGGGACCAATCAGACTGGCCCTGCAGAACCTGGCTTCGGGTGCTAGTAATCCCCTGACCTCTAGCTACCCTGCACTTGCCGTTTTCCCGGAGAGCAGCACAGCCTCCTTGAGTTGGTGACATTTGATGGCTAGACAGCCCCAGCTCAGCGGGTGAGCGTTTCCCCCCCGCTGCAGCTTCCCTCTGCTCCCCATGCCTCACACAGAGTACTAATGCACATGTTGAAATCAACTTCATACGGATGTGCATTCACATGGGAGGCCTCAGCGTACGGCCTAGCTCCAGGGCTGAGCTTTCATAAAATTCATTTTTACTGCTTCACCAAAAACACTCCTAAGGGAAAGCCACCTTTGTTTTACCATGCTGGGGTCCATGGCTGTGCATATAGAACACAGGAATGGTTGGGGGTCCCAGCTGATTCTGCCCGCATTTTCACCCACCCTTGCTTTTGCATTCAGTGCCAACTTCACAGAGTAAAAGGTAAAAACACCATAGCATTATTGTCAAGACGGCTTGGGTCCTGTGCCCCCTGTAGGTCCCAGCAGGGTCCCCCCAGGGCTCCATGGGCCTCATGTTCAGAACCACTGTTCTTTGCTGTGCATTTTTCAGGGTAGAAATTGGCTTTCATGTTTTAAAAAATTGTGTCACTTTGTCACCTAAGTTGAAGCTTATTTACCAGCTATAGCGCGCATTTGCGCAGCTCTCCAGCCTGTTTTGGTTTTACAGAGCCTGGGCATGCGTCAGTTAACTTTTGCCCATAAAACACGAGCTCTTCAGTGTCTTCTCTACTTGGCTGACAAGGAAACTGTAGAATCTCTCTTCAAAAAACCCATGGAAGATGTAAAGTAAGTGTATTTCGATTAATTGTATTAAGAATTAGGAAATAGGGGCTGGAGAGATGGCTCAGTGGTCTAAAGCACCTACTTGGAACAAGCTTGGCAAAGCACAGGGACCGCGGTTCGATCCTCCAGCACCACATGCCAGCCAGCCGCGCCCCCTGGTGGGCTGAGCTGGCCACACACACACACACACACACACACACACACACACAATAAATAAATGTTAAAAAAAAAAAGAATTAGGAAATAGATCGTTTCTTTTTTTTTTATGTTTTTTTTTTTAATTTGTGTGTGTGTGTGTGTGTGTGTGTGGCCAGCTCAGCCCACCAGGGGGCGGCCCTGGCTGGCATGTGGTGCTGGGGGATCGAACCGCAGTCCCCTTGCTTTGCTAAGTTTGTTCTAAGTAGGTGCTTTAGACCACTGAGCCATCTCACCAGCCCCATCGTGTCTTTTGGAACTGTACTTTGTAAGGCCTTAATTCATTAGATCACCTTTGAGTAGCTAACTGTACTTCTGCTGCCTGACTATCCAGGACATTTTGGCAAAGGGAAACAGGCGTTTGAGGTAGAAGGATCGCCACAAGTTTGAGGCCAGCCTGGACTACATAGTGAGTCTGAGGCCAGCCTGAACTTCTTAAGCAAGACTGTGTCTCAGTCCAAGAAAGAAAACAAAAGAGAATGATTCTTGTGAACACCTGTTTTTCAGGTCTTATTTGAAATGTATAACTTTTCTGGCCTCGTTTGAGACATTGAATATCCCCATCACCTATGAGTTATTCTGCCACAGTCCTAAAGAAGGAATGATTAAGGGCCTATGGAAAAACCACAGCCATGAGCCGATGGTAGGTAGAGTGCTCCAGGTGGGGGCTCTTGGGCTGTCTGCACTCGGGCTCCTGCCACCCCTTAGGATCCCAGGAGACCCTTTATCCCTGCGCTGCCCACCGCCCAAGACCTTCTCTGCTGTCCTGGCGTGGAGATGGATACGGCCGATCTTCCTTACAGTGCGTGGGCTAACATTGTCCCTTCCAGCAAGGTGGAGCAGGCTGAAGCTCCCTTCCATGCCCTGGTAGGGAGGCTGGCACTCCTCTTCTGCCTGGCTGCTTTCGGAGCCCAGGCCAGGAAGGGAATGAGGACAACAGACAAACTGTCCTTGGAGACAAGAAAGGAGAGCATCTCCTTCTTCATTAGAAAGATAGGGCCTTCACTGGAATGAGAAGCTAGACACTTACGGATTATGTGCAGGTTTTGTAGTAAGCTGTTGTACCTTTTACAGGGTTGTTTTACATTTACTGGTGTCTTGAAGCAAGATAGTGACTTTATTTTCTTTGCTTTCTAACCTCAGGCAGTCAGATTGGTGGCAGAGCTCTGTTTAGAATACAGAATCTATGACCTGCAGCTTTGGAATGGACTCTTGCAAAAGCTTCTTGGCTTCAGCATGGTGAGTAAGCCTGAGGCTCTCTTGGCCCCTGTGTTTGGTGTCCCTAAAGGTTGGCAGTGGCACTTGTGTGAACAGGTGCGTGCTGAAAGCATCCTCTAATGCTGGGTTTCTGCCAGACCTAAGAGGTCGTGATGTTAGGCCAGGGGAAGTGCAGACTCTGAAATAACCTATTTTGTGCTGAAAACAAATGGAACAATCCCTGATCTTTTAAAATATTTATGAACCTGTAAGTGAACTGCTGTGGCAATTCTCGTGGGAGAGTTTTTTAGAAAATAGATATATTGGGGATTGAACCTTTGAGCTAGATCTCTAGCCTTTTTTTTATATCAAAACACCTTGACTAAAATTAAAAACAAACAAAACCACCTTAATTGAGTTGCCCAGTCTACCCTCAAACTTGCAGGCCTGCATTGGCCTTCTGAGTAGCTGGGGATGAACCACTACACCCAAAGGGAAGATGGGGGCTGGGGGAATAGCTCAGTGGAATGAGTGCTTGCCTGGCAAGTGCGAGGTCCTGAGTTTGATCCCTGGTACCACCAAAAAAAAAAAAAAAAACCGAAAACAACAAAGGGAAGATGGACTTTCAGAAGTACTCCTTTGAAACACACCAAAACTCCACTGTGTGGCCTTCAGAACTTATTTGTTTATTTTCACAGATTCCTTACCTAAGGAAAGTTTTAACAGCCATCTCTAGGATCCATTCATTATGGCAGGTATGTAGATGTTTAAAGTAAATTCACTGAACTTAGTACACTTGCTGGGCTTGTGTACTAGATAAAGCAGTCAGCTCCTCAGTAAAGAACAGAACGGCTGAGCCGCAGGTGGTTTGCGTTCCGCCTCCTGGAAGAGGCTGCCTTCCTGGGAAGGTCCCATCTCCATTCAAGCTTTCAAAACCCTTGGTTCCCCTCCAGCATTCGGCACAGTATAATTTGTTTTAATTATGCTTTGTGCTGTCCCCTCAGGCCTGGGAGGTCTCTGCAGTCAGAGCCCGTCTTCATCTTTTACCAATTTCACAAGTTGTGTACTCGTATAATCATTATACACACGCACAGGCATTTTATTCCTAGTTTAATAAGTTAGAATAATATGGAAAATTATGCTGAGTCAATTCTTTTTTACTATTTCTCTTCTCGTTACCTCCCCAGAGGTAATCACTAAATGCTTTTTTGTAATGTGTCCTTCTAGAGCTTTCCTGTCACTCACAAGCCTGTAGTTAAAATACGTGTGTATATCTAGCTGCACACACACATTTTTATAAACATGAATCACATTCTAGACACTCTGCACAACTGAGGAGATCATTCTAGATCAGGACATACAGATCTTGGGGGGTTTTGTTGTTGTTGTTAAGATAAAATTTACCCCTTTATTTTTTAATTATTATCATTTGTCTTTTTGAGACAGGGTCTCATTATGCAGTTCAGGCTGGCCTTGAATTGACTTTGTAGCCAGGCTGGTCTCAAACTCACGACAATCCTTTTGCCTCAGCCTCCTGAATGCTGGGATTGCGGGCATGCGCCACCACACTCAGCTTAAAATTTACCCTTTTAAGTATATATACTCAAGTGGTGTTTTTAGTCCCTTCAGAAAATTCTACAACCACAACCATTATCTTATACTAGGATATTTTCCTTACCTTTTAAAGAAAATCCTTGGTCAGTCATCCCCTACTTGCCCCTCCCTGCAGGTCCTACAAGCCACTAATCTACTTTCTCTGGATTTATCTGTTCTGGATATTTTCTATCAAAGAAAATGCAATCTTATGTCTGCTACATTGTAGCATGTTAGTTCATTCTTTCTCCCTTTTTTTTTAATTTTGCAGTACTGGGGATCGAATTCAGGACCTTGCACTCGCCAGGCATGCGTTTATGCTGCTGAGCTATAGCCCTAGTACTTCTTAATGTTTCATTGTATAGATACACAGTGGGCACTTGGAACTTGTGGGGGATTGGTTTTAGGGTTTAGGGTGCTGTCACCAGCCCGTAGTACCAAAGCCTTCCAGTGTCAGGTTCCTTATATGAAATGGCATAGTGATTGCTTAAAGTCTGCACATCCTGCCCTGTACTTTAGAATCCTAACACACTTTAGGTGTCACGTTATTGTTACACTACATTTTTTAGGAAATAATGACCAAAAACAGCTAGTATGTATTCAGTACAGACATAATTTTTTTTTTTAAATGTATGTTTGTGGATGCAGACCCTGAGGATGCAGAGGGGCAACTACACCACATTTAATTGCTAGTGGGCATTTAGGATGTTTCCATTTTTGGTTTTTTATGAGTAATGCTGCTTTGAGCATTTCTGGACACTTTAGGTGGACATGTATTTTCATTGAGTAAGGGATGGGACTGTCAGCCCTCAGGTGTCTGTGGTTAGCCTCTTAAGGTATTCAATTTATTTGTTTTGGCAATGCTAAGCATTGAATCCAGGGTCTTGCATATACATATTAGGCAAGCTCTCTACCACTGAGCTATATCTCCAGCTCCTGTCCTTACTTTTGACTCAGTTATTCCCCATGATATGGAGTGAAATATACTAAATGTTATTTAGCTACTTCTCTATTGGTCTTCTTTCTTTCTTTTTTTCTTTTTTTTTTTT